TCGATAACTCGAACCTCCGTAATCAAGGATTGCGGATCTGCATTCGTCACTTACGGAAACGTAATCGAATGGAATGAAGTCCAGTTTCCCGGCCGAGATGGCCCTGAAAAAATTAATAGGGGCGGCTAATTTGCAGTTGCCCGTAATAGCTCGAAAATTTCTGCCTTAGTGTCACAAGAACATCAGATTAGGATGCGTTCTAGCGAACGCGATAATTTTACCCGCGATAACTCGAACCATGTTTGAGCGCTTAAAATTGGGGGGAAAATACAGTCGCCCGTAATAGCTCGAAAATTTCTGCCTTAGTGCCACAAGAACATCAGATTAGGATGCGTTCTGGCGAACGCGATAACTCGAACCATGTTTGAGCGCTTAAAATTGGGGGAAGAATACAGTGTACTGGCGTCTGAAACACTGGATTTTGAAGTCCCCTTAACGATTTGTAGACATATAGTTTACTAGTGGAGGCTGATGTAGTTTGTCACAAATCTAACGTGAAACAGCTTCAGCTTGCCTATTTTAATTAGACAAAGAAAAAAGAACTAATTATTGATGATCTTGCTGGTCCCGTTAAGAACGGGAACACGGCCAGCGACACAAACGAACAAAATTACACAATTATGGAGACAATCAATCAATCAATCAATCAATCAACTTTATTTTATTACGGTCAATGGCTCAGCAAGCTGGTTTTCAGACATGCCGTGTGATAATTACAAGTTATTAAAATTAGGACTGGTGATTAACTAACAATAATTAGCACAAGAATTGACAATTTTATGTGTTTCTATCGAGCTGTCATAAACGTGACTATCTAGTTTGTATAATACTAGTGAAAAATAGTAATAATTTGAAATACCTGACAATAACATTAAGAAATGGGTCATTAAAGAAATAAGATAAAAACATAATAAAAAGTTACATCCTACGATATCGCGAGTTTAAAGCTAGTAAGATCGCCTATCGCCCGTGTTTGATTTGACAGTTGGTTCCAAGCCATTGCACCCCGATAAGAAAATGAAAGCTTAAGAAAATTTGTTTTAGGTGGTGGTAGTTGGAGATCATAGTTCAACCCCTCAAATTATGGTCATGAATTTCAGAGGTTCTATGAAACCGCTCCTGAAGGTAGGTCGCGGACAATTATTATTGAATACTTTTAAATCGTAACTAATAAGTGCCTTTTTCTTCTTTCTTCTAAGTTTGACCACTCTAGAGAATTTAGTACATCTGTCATGATGATCTGATAGAGTAATCAGCCCGAGTGATAATCCGTTCTTCTCTAGTTTGCAACTTTTGCAATTTGTCAGCACGTGTTTTGGAGCAGTCACCCCATCACATCACAATAGTCAAAGTAGGGCTGGACAAGTGAATAGTAAATAGTTTTAAGTCTCTTGATTATCGGTTAGTTTTCTAGCTAAATACAGCTGATTCGCAAGCATTAGAGACTTTCATGATGAAAATACGAAATGACACAAAATACCAAGACGGTTTGCAGAAGCAGATAAAGGCAACTATGAAGCTCACACAATTATGATCAAATTGCCGAATGGATATATAGCAACATTTGCCTAACTTTTATCTTTTCCCGTCATCTCTTGTTCGAATGACTGTGTTCTCTCTTGCTGATAGACCATTTTACACAGCGCCGGATCCAGACATTTAAATGAGGTCCTCACTTTTCGGGCCTTAGTTTGGTCTAAAAATAAGGGGGGGCCCTCCCCTGGATCCGCCACTGTTACAGTTGTAGGCCTAGAATCCTAGTAATTGAGAGAATGTGAGGCTAAGGCAGACCTTGGTTTGATACAAACCTCTTTTAAAACCTCTCTTAAAAAATACTAGTTGGCATAAAAGAGACATGATTTACATAAGAAAGCAGCAAGGGTTGTATCAAATTAAAACAAGGTCAACTCCAGCCTCGATTGGCTTTAACTGTAAAATGGACTATTTGCACAAGCGAAGCTGTCGCCCATTTCTATGTAACGTTACAATCGGCAGTCAAACACATGAAAACAATACAGATGGCCCCTCCCTCCGGGACTAAAATAACTTTGAACTTTGGGGTGAGGAGGGGGCGACTTTGTTCCCTTTAGAGGAAATGGTAGTATGACACGCATTAGACCATTTTACAGTTTTGACCTTAGTACCCTAGCCTCTGAGTGAACGTGAGGCTGAGGTTAACCTTGTTTTGCTACAAACCTCTTTCCTTTCTTATGAAAATCGTGCTAAAAAGTACTAATTAGAATAAGAATAGCATGGCTTAACCGTAATAAAAGAGGAAGAGTTGTTTGAAAACAAAGACAACTCCGGCCTCGTTGCCACTTGTGACTGTAACATGGACTATCAGCTAGAAAGTATATGAAAATGCTTCGAAATTTTTGTCCGAGGTTGTGGCAAATTTTATCCTACCTAGATTTTTTTTCTGTCAAACTTTATTCTTTTCTCAAGTTCGAAAAATTTGCTTAACTTTTTCAATTTTCTGACTTGACAGTGCTACTGTCTT